AAGGTTTGTTGTTAGGAGGGGTATAGTCACGAGCTATGAGGCACTCAGATGCTTTAGTAAAGGTCTCAAGTCCAAAGCAAAGGAGAGACCTGTACTTAACACCTAAGCAAGGACAGGGAAATCTGAATTCTGTTACGCCAAGTCTGGCGAGCACTCCTGGACTTCACACTGTTCTGGTTGAGAAGGTTCAAGTCGTACTAGAGCAGGTGAAGAAGAGGGCTGAGAGGACCACAGGGGAGGGGTGGACTAACACGGGCCTGGAGGTGGCAATGAGGAACCTGGGAACAAAATGACAGGCAGGACATAGGGACTAACACACCTCAAGCCAAAGCAGAGGGGGAACGAGGACTTGGTCATCCTAGAGAAGACCAGAAGGAATTAGTTTATTTAATCCAGCAAGTGAAGGCAGAGAGGAGAGTGCTGTCTGTCAGTTAGGTGGGGTGGGGGAGGGAGAGAAATAAACACCATGCAGGCAAGCAGAGCTGTTTAAGCTAAAGGATAGTGTTGGCACAAGAACAAATGAATATAAATTGGCTGCAAATAAATCGAAGCTAGAAATTAGTTGCTAACCAGCAGAGGAGTGAGTTCCTAGAAGAGCCTTCCACTGGGAGCAGAGGGAGTAGCTCTCCAGCGTGCTTAGAAGACTGAGCTTGCTCCATTCATGAGCGGGATTATCTGTAGCGGGGCTTGCCACGGTGACCGATGGGCCTGATGACCAGGAACCCCCCTCCTGTTTCTAACTGTATCTGGGCTTAAGGACAAAGCTACATCCCCTATGCAAAATGCATAGGTAAGAGCGTTCCCTGCAGGACGTACAGGCCAGGGACAGCTAATCCCCTTCCAAGCCAGCCTCAGAGCCGTCCAGTCTGTTACTGCGGACACAACCTCTGCACATCTCCTCTCTGCAGCCCCTGGGCTCCGTGACTCCCCGGCGCAGCTGTGGGATGAGCTGTGTTTAGCAGCCGTTCCGCTGCAGTGCCTCCTCGCTGTTTGCTCCTTATCCCCTACACAGCAAATGCGGTGGCTCTGCTGGTTTGAGGGACTTTCTGGGGCAGTACAGTCCAGGGGGACATTTGTGCTAGAAGGTGGCTTAGATGCTGTTCTTGATGTCAGTACTGAGGTTTGGTGAGGAGTTATTTAGCACCTCTTTTTTTAATTTTTAGAACACAGGGAAATAACTGTGAGAAGATAAAAGTCTAAAATTGTCATTGTATAATTGAAATTAAACTAATTTTTGGCAACTGTGAGTGCTTTCCACTGTGCTACTAACTTAATACATTATAGGTTGGAGACCATGGCATGATCTCTTTCCAGTTTTCTCCTGGCCTGTGCTGGGGTAGCATGTCTAGGTTAGAAAGCAGAATCAGGAGATTTTCCCAGTATTTCCTGCTTTATCCACCAAATAACACTTTGCTTTCAGATGCAATCTCAGTTGTGGGTGACAGTCATTCTTTTTCTGTTGTTCATAACTCATTCCACTGGTACGAAGGGGCTTTCGTCCTCCTGCTTGACTACAGTGAGAGTACATTTGGCCTTTTTTTAGGTATTGAATAGCTAATGGGTACCAAGCAGTCAGCTAGGATATGCTTAGATACTTCTCTTCTAAAAAACACACAGAAGGAAATAGAAGACTAAGATTATTGCAGATTCTACCTCCAGTGTCACCTCACATCACCGGCTACATGATGGAGTTGCACCTACGGTGTGCATTGATGATATGTGTGAACATGTATGTTTTAAGGTGTTCCCTTTTTAAATAGCATTTCTTACCACGTAAGCATTCCAGGACACTGCAGGTTGTGCTTCTCATTACCCCTGGTTTTTGACCTTCCCCAGTAGAGATGACAGGCCAACTTCAGCCTTGCTTTCAACGAATTTGGTGGTATTTTTGCTCTGGAACCAAAATCCATCTCAGAGCTTCCTCCTTCAAAGCCAGGGTGTTCTGAGACCAAAATCAGTATTTAGGTCAGCTCCCTCTGTTCATTTTAGGGTATTTTGGAGCCAAATGATTACAGCAACATTTTTTAAAGAAAAGGAAAGCAAATGAGCCAGGACAGACTGAGGTTTGGTAATGAGCATTGAAGTGGCATGAAAGTGACTGGTATTCTGCAAATGACCCCTGTTTAGCAGCTTTTTGGAGCTGTGTGCAGTGGGAGATAGCTAGTAGAATTCCAGCTTTTAATGGGGGCTTTTTTTTTTTTTTTTGGGTCAGAAATTCTTAATAATACAGAGCTGGTGCTTCAGAGCTTTATGTTAGCAAACCTGACACTAGGGAGTAATATCATTGGCTTTCATGCGCCTATTTACTGTAATAAGGATTACCAATGTAAGTAAAACTTGCAGGTTTGGGCCTACAAAATTAAAAGAAAAGCCTTTTCACACCCTGAAACTGCATCAAAATTCAATTTCACCAGGAAAAAAAAAATCCTTCTGATCTAGTCCCTGGAATGTGACATTTCATGGGTGTAATAAGGTTACAAACAGATTATAAATTGAAACCCTATAAATCCGTATTGTACTACACCAAAGCTTCTGCTTTGCATAATACTCTTATTCCTGACTGTTCTTTGTTTTACAAGCTCAAAACTATTCATTCCCTCTCATAATAGAGACCAGGGAGCCAAAAACACCGTGCAAAATCCAAAGGTAATTATCTGAGTCAAAGGACCTGAATGCCAGAGTTCACAAACTTCTGAACTTTTCTAATTGCCGTTGTTTGCACAGTGAGACCTCCCTCTTCCTATAAACATGTTGTAAGTATTGCACATTGTTTCTGCCAAATGATAATGAGAAAAAAATCCCAGTGTAGATTTAGTTCCTGTTTTGTATTTGTATAGTTCCGCCTGTGTGCCCATAGCAGAGGACTGATCAGAGCTTGAGCGAGTGAGGGCATTTGCATCTGGCCCTGCGTGGTCAGGATGATGAATGCTGTGGATCTCCTTACCCGAGAGCACTGCTGGTTTCTGCTGTTGGCCTCTTACTTGTGCTGGTTAAATGTCTAGCAAGTGTCTTCTTCCAGACCAGCGTTACAGTATTTGGGCACATTTAGAGGTCTGCTAAAATATCACCCCTCTGCGAAAAGCAATTGAGCAGCTCCCCTCAGAGCTAAAGAAATTACCAAGGTTAGCAGATGATGTCATGAGCCCATTTCTTCTAGGCTTTACCTGAAGGTGAGGATCCTCACAGGGGTTGAATAAGAACGAGGTGGCTTGGCAGGTGAGCTCTCAGAGGCTACGTGGAGCACCAGAGCCATGAGGCAAAACAGTGCAAAGAGGGGTTTGACTGTAGGAAGAGCAGAGCGAGTACGAGAGTGGTGACAGGATAAGAGAGAAGGGCAGATGAATATGGAGGGACATGGTTGTGCAGTGACCTGAGGGTGATCAGAAGATACTTGACAGGCAAGCCAGTGGAGGGACGTAGAGAGGCAAATGATCAAGTCACCGTCCTGGGCAAGCCTTGCCAGCTGCTGCAGACAGCCTGGGTTGGGGAGGGAGTGAGGAAGGGTGTTTTACGCCCATGAGAAAGGCCAGTTTTAGAGGATGCTCATGCTGATAAAGCCTAGAGGTCTGGAGCAAGGAGCAAGCTCATTTGCAGGGACAAAGAGAAACAGTGTCCTGTGGAGAATTCTTCTGAAAGAGCATCCGTGGTGCCTGAGTGTCCATGCAGGGGGAGGAAGAGGGAGGGGCTGTTGTGAACTGATTGAACCAGCCTTGAAGTTTTGTATCAGACGGAAAGCCTGTGTCACACACTCAATTTTCATTTCCCTCTTGGCCATGTAGGTTTAACCAAATACCTTACAGTCTGCAATGTTTACATTGCAGATTACAGAAAGATTTGGCCAAGAATTACTTTAATGCATTGAGTTCTGTCCCGTTACTTCTTTCTCCTTCAGGGAGGAAGAGTGCACATTAGCCTCGCTGTACTCTTCCAATGCCATTTCACAGCACAGGGCATCTGTACACTTTTGGTACAGGCGTGTGTAGTACGAATGGACTAGAGATCTGCACTTGAAACATAAACTCCTGCAGATTACATGTTGTACGTTGTCCAGCACATCTGCTCTGTTCATGTGCTCTGCGCCCCATCACAACTTTTAAGAAATGGCAATAAAGTTTCAGAAAGAGAAAAAGAGCAGTCATCTTTTATAGGCAATGCACATCTGTTTGCCATGGCAATGCTGCATAATTGCGAACTTAAGTGATTTTATTTGGTTTTCTGATTGTTTTCAGGACTTTAGAAAGGATTGGGATTATCTTCTTTGTGTTCCAGTACGGACTACTGAGTTTCTGTACGGCTGTTTTTTCTCTGTGAGCTACTCACAGGGCAGATGCAGATTTCATCCCTGTTCTGTGATCAAATATAAACTCTGGAAGGAGTTTTGTCTCCTACCATAATGGAAATAATTGCATTTGCTGAGAAATGCAGCCATCTAGTGGCACAGCTAGCCAGCTGTGGTAGAAAGTACAGCAATGGTGAATGAAGTCTCTGAGGCTCTCTCCAAGAGTCCAGGAGGACGAGTCTGGTAGCTCTTGCTGAAACCTTTATAAACCTTTGAAAGTCCAGGTGCAGGTGCTTATGTTGTTTTCCAAAGCTGTGCAAAAAAATTCAAACAGTTAAACCTTGAAAAAACAAACCAATCTTGAGGCTGGCCCCGATTCATCTGCCCGTTTCTTCTCAGAGACACAACCAGCAAGAATTAAATCCATATTTAAATACTCTGCTGAACTGGATCTTAGTGAAGGGAACAGAGCAAGCTACTTTTCTGGAACAGTAAAAGGTACATGGCTCCAGCCTGTATCCATCTGGATACACTCAGGCAGATGACACCGACCACAGCAAGACACGTGCATGCGTGTCAACAGGCCAGGGGCAGGTATCGCTCCCAGAGACTTCCAGGCAGAGCCGTACTTGGCAATGGCAAAAACTGGCTTGATGGATGCTTCTGTGCTCAGAGTTTTTAGTTACTGCAGCGTGTAGGGTTTTATTTCTGATGCCGCAACATGTACACTAACCCAATACCTTTACCGAAAGAAAATATGGTGAGTTGAAAGTTTTGGTGGAAAAGTGCTTTAGCAGTTCTGTTGATTTTTCAGGTTGGAGAACATGTTTTTAAAGGCCCGATTTTGTAAACCTAGTTTGTCTTGAGTGGCGCTTAAGTAAGGCTTCCCTGATCCGGGAGAGCATTACTCAGCGTGAGTCACGCAAATGTTGCCATGCATGAGATTATCCAGGGTCCATTTAACAGCCCGTATCCCTGAACCCTGATCCAAAGCCTGTTGACGTCAGTAGAAACAAATTCATGGGCCTTAGTGGGCTTCAGTGAGATCTAGAATTTGAACCCCGTGATCGCGTTGGAGCACAGACAATCTTCTTACTGCAGGATCCTGGTTCACACCTGAGCCTCTGGTGCCATTCCAATGCGAAGCTACAGCAATGACGATGTTGCATTTCTTGTTAAGCTGTAATCTCTCTTCTACCCGAACAGCATATAAACAACGACCATATACACGGTGAGAAGAAAGAGTTTGTGTGCCGATGGCTGGACTGTTCCCGGGAGCAGAAACCATTCAAAGCCCAGTATATGCTGGTGGTCCACATGAGGAGACATACAGGGGAAAAGCCACACAAATGCACTGTGAGTAAAGGGGGCTGAGCTCCAGGCTCGGACGGGGGAGCTGGGACTCTGCAGGGAGCAGGACGGCGCAGATGCTGCATTCCCTGATCTCTTGTCTGTCGGACATTTGTTGGAGAGGAGACTACCATGTATGCTTCATTATCCAGCTCGCCCAGGTGACAAGAGCTTTAGGAGAGGGGATTCACTGGATAATTTGGCCCACTTCCTCAAGTTTAAAGTTCAAAGAAGCCCCAAAAGGCATTATTAAACAGGGCTCAGTGTGCTTAATTATTTAAAGGCACTTTCTCTTACAGAGCTACATCTGGGTGTCATTGCTGGCCACCAGTCTCGTAATGACTTTGCAATGGATTTCTGTCTTAGATGAAGTATACAAATTCTGTGCTCTCCTGTGGGAGAAGATTTGCATAATGCTGGAAGCATTTTAACTTGAGCTGTGATGGGGTTTGCCTGGATAAAATTAAAATCCAACAAATCAAAACAAAATTACATTGAGCAAGGTTATGAAGGCTTGGAAAGTTTCTGAACTTTTATAGGTCAGCTTTTACCGTTGCCTGCAAGTCCAAAGATTAAAATTAATCCAGGCTTACTTCTTGTCTGCAGTTTGAAGGTTGTACAAAGGCCTACTCCAGGCTAGAAAACTTGAAAACGCACTTGAGATCTCACACTGGAGAGAAACCATATGTGTGTGAACACGAAGGCTGCAACAAAGCTTTCTCCAATGCGTCCGACAGGGCCAAGCACCAAAATAGGACTCATTCCAATGAGGTAAGTAAGCATAGCTTCAAAAAAATAATCAAATCCGTAGTCGAACAGACGTACAATGTGATCATAGCAATTTGTTACAGAGGACAGGCACTGAAACCCTCAGCAGCCTGAAAAGAATAAGTTCTAGGTGGGCCTTACGAGCACAGTCTTTCTGGTGGCCTATGGACCTAAAGAGGCTGTGGGTCATTTTATTAAGTGTAGGAGAGGTTTGAAGGAGGGGTCTAATGGAAACAGGTGTGTTAACCAGGGACAGATCGGAGCTGGAGTGGCTCATCCAGCGCCCGGAGCACATCCCTGGCTTGGGCATCCTTTCTGGCTGCTGCGGGAGTGTCCAGGGCTTGGAAAATGTGGGTTGCACTGGAAGTTCTGAGTTACGCCTTTTCCTTCTTTCCTGGGCTATTTCACTCTTCTGTCTATCCTGAACAGACCCCACAGAGCAGCGACGCAGTGGAGGGGATTTGATCTTTCTCTAGCAAACCAGCCGTGGCAGTCACAGCCCCCTCCCAAACTGTCCGTGTAACAGCTCTTTATTACCATGTGTCTCCTGTTACTGCTGCCCCCTCTTGCAGGAGTCACGCCATATTCATGCCTTCTCCCTGTTTTATTGCCCCATTTCAGGTTACACAGGGAGTCACATCATCTCCTGGGGGAGCCCTGTCTCTCTCCTTTTTGACCTGTCTAGCCTAAAGCCAAAAATACTGGAAGGGCAGGACAGCCCAGCAGGCCGTGTGGTTTGGACACCATAGCAGGTGTATACATTTCCACATGGCTTGTATCCTTCTCTGTCGATCAGGTCTGTCGCAGGCACTCACTGGGGCTGGCAGAATCTCCTGGGAGCACGTTCATCTTCTTCCAGTCCCCTGGTCCCTGCAGCATCTCTTGACTCACAAGGGAAGCAGAGAGCATTGCACATCTCTTGAGTTCGCTCTCAGCAGCCCAACAACTGCACTGAAGCCCAGCAGCAGTTCTGTGAATTGTCACCAAGGTAGAAAGAAGTTCACCAAAGTCTCGCCAGTAGCTGACTGAGCTTTTGTTTCATTCACTGTCTGAACTAATCTGTTTATTGCCCAGCTGATGAGTAAGATCCTCACAGACTTGCTGACATGACCTGGACTCCCTGTTGTTTTAAGATCAGGATTTCATGTCTAACAGGAGGTCACCAAAAAAAACCTCCTCCTGTGCATCATTTCTGGTAGTTGCAGCAGCAAAGTCAAATGAGAAATTTCCTTCACCATTATGTTCCAATGAAGCGGGCTAATACTCTTAGGCAGTGTATACTGATGTAGTGCCGAGAATACTATGGAAAGCACAGACCCAATTCAGCATGTCCTCGCAGTGCCACTTTGGTTTTTAAGTAGCTAACCCACAGACAGATTTAAAAGCAGCTGAGATATCTTGATAGAGATCTGGCCTATACATATGCAGGAAAGAGGTAATTGATTTGTACTTCCATAGCATCATGGGAAAGCCTGCCTCAGAAAGCAGAGCAATAACTTCCAATTGCTCACAACTGACATTTTTGCTCCTGTTCAAGTCAAGGGGATTTTTTTTCCAGCTGATGTCAGTGGAAGCAGGCTTAGGCCTCAGGTAGCCATTAGGAACCTGCATTTGTCAAAGGCTCCGCAGTGCCATGTGTAAGCAGACAGAGAACCCCTTTGAGAAACTCTGCATGAGGATCTTTTTTTTTCTTTTCTTTTCTTGAGGACTAGTACAAGTAGGACTTAAAAATAGTAGTTTCTTGGAAACAATTCCATAATAAAAGTGAGTGAATGATACTTTGTTTCCCGAGGCAATTGAACTGTTTAGGAAGGGCTCAACTTTTCCTTTCTAATCGTCTCATGATACAAGAACAAAGAGTCTTCATGAAATTATTAGACAGTAAATTTGTTTTGTTCTGCATTGATTAGTGAAACTAGAGAAATTCACAGATGAAGGCAGGTGCTTTTAAAGAAAATGAGTGATTAGTTATGCTAGTAGCAGTGATAGTAGTGGTGCATATATTGTTGCAACATGAAAATGCTTACGGAACGGAATCCTGTCCTTTGACATTATTCTGGTGATCTGAAATTCTTCCTCAGATAATCCTGTCTGAACCTGTGTCCCAACATGATTTGAAGGGGGTTGTTTGCCTCTGGATGTCAAGGAGTAGGTACTGGGCATACTAGAAACAGGATATCGCACTGCTGAGGGCAGTGGACAGGACAGAAAATTAGGCCAGCCTTCATAAATTGCCACAGCTCTGTTGACTCTGCTGCTATGAGAAGTCAAAGCTGTGCTGGTTCATATCATGAGAGGCTCTGCCCTCTGTAAACTGGGCAGCATTAATGGGTACCTTTAAAACCAAGGGAATTAATAGGTTTAACAAGGTGCAGTCACTCTAGAGACCATAAATTAGATAACAAATTCACTGTGAAAGCGTATAACTGTAACACCAGCTGTGCTCCAAGGAACTCCTCAGGAGTCCCACATGGAATTAAATATAATTTGTTTCTCCTGGCTTGGCAGAAACCATATGTTTGCAAGATACCAGGCTGCACAAAGCGCTACACAGACCCCAGTTCTCTCCGGAAACACGTGAAGACTGTGCATGGCCCGGAGGCACACGTCACCAAGAAGCAGCGGGGAGATATCCACCCAAGGCCTCCGCCACCGAGAGACCCAGGCAGCCACTCTCAGACCCGGTCACCAGGCCATCAGACTCAGGGTGCAATTGGTGAGCAGAAGGACCTCAGCAACACTACCTCAAAGCGTGAAGAATGCCTCCAAGTGAAAGCGGTCAAGTCAGAAAAACCAATGGTATGCAATACACCGTGCCGCTCCCTTTGTCCTTTTTCTTCTCGCGAGCGGTTAATAATCCCTTTGTGAAATGCTCAAGCCCATAAGCTCTAGCTCACAAGGTTAGGTTTTGTGAGATTTTCTTTTTAGTTTACATTGTAAAATGTTTTTAAAGCCTAAGAAATAGCAAATAAAAAGGTTACGTCTAATCTGTACAATATGCAGAAAGCGCAACGTTGGCAACTCTCACAATAATTGTTTCTCTTAGAGCTCCATCTTTTGGAAGCAGCATATTATGAGAAGATCAGAGCTTTCATTTTTAAAAAGGCGTTTTTTTCCACTCTCCTGTTTACAGACGCAAGTTAGAGAATGTGAATCCTACAGACTCAAAACCAGAATGTGGAAAAAAAAACATGTCTAAAAAACTGATATTATGATATTGGTGATGATAATTTTTTGAGAACCTGGAGAAACAATCAGATTTTAGGGCCTTGAGGTTGTCGGGTCAACTGAAGCAGGATAAATTGACTTTCTTAAACAGCAGGAGATCTTTTGATAACATTTGATCTCTATTGCGATGTGACCTCTTATGTTAATCTGATACTTAATTTAACTTGACCAAGTTAACCTAATTCCAATTTAACTAAATTGAGCTGAATTAAGAGTCTCTGCAGGTCTTTTCACTGGTTTACTTTAATGTATTGCATTAAACCATTAGAGCCTTGGACATTGAAAGGACCTTATTCCATTTTTTTACATGCTATCTTAAATAAATAAGTTTTTTTCGTTTCCCTGCGTCTCCTGTGCCATCCACCCTCTCCACAAGGGTTAAAACTAGCAAAGGCAGTCACTCCATCCCTTTCCACATCTGGGTCTACAACTCGTCTGGACCCAACCCTTGGGGAGTGCAAATATGAGCCCTCCAAATTCTGCTCATATTGTTAATCATGCTGCAATTCAATGTGATTACTCATTGAAATACGAGTTACTGCTATACTGTGCCTAAGGCTTATGCCCAAATTGTGGAGTGTTAATCCTGAATTCAGAAACTTCCAAGGGCTGCACCCGCGGAAGACTAAAGGAGGTGCTCTCCCATCTTTGGTAATAACTACCTTAGATTACAAAGGAACAAAACCCGTTGCCCTCTTCCTTAGCTAGGTACATCTGTAGCATTATTGAGGCACGTTGAGCTTAGATGGTTTTAACATCAGTAAAGTTTGCAGGAGAGAGGTATTAATGCTGATTGCTTACATAATATTAAATATTTCTCACTGAAAAATATCTTCTAAAACCAATTCTGCATTTCCTGCTTTTCATTGCTTGTGTGAATTAAGATATATTTTCTGTTTTTCAACTAATCCAATGTCTTTTCTGTCTAATGCTCTTAAATGTCTTGTTCTAACTTCCTAAGGACAGTGGGTAATAAGGTGAGGGCATTTTAACTTTTCTGCTGTTTTTCTTATTGCAACATTATGTCTTTATTTTAGCCTTCTGCCTGTTGTCCATGCTGTTTTTCTTATTGCAACATTATTTATGTCTTTATTTTAGCCTTCTGCCTGTTGTCCAATCATTCCGTTATTTAGTAATGTGCAATCCATCAAACTCATTCCCAAATGTAATGTGCTGTGAGCATTTTGCAACACTTGACATGTGAAAAATCTGGCTTATGTTGGTGAAATGTCTCATAAATGTCTTTGTACCTTTCCCTCTAGATGAGACATCCATTTTTTTATGTATTGCACATCTGGAAATGTATGTTCCCCATAATACAGTTCTCACTTCTGTGATCTTGACACGTGGCTACAAGAACAGGCTTCTGACCCTTAGTACTCTTCTTCCATGTGTCCAGAAGCACAAACTCTCTTCTGTGTAATAATGGTTATTTCTATTCTTGTCACCAAATCTGCCATGGCCAGGACTTGGAAATGAACATGCTCAGTGTGGCCTCATAAATTCTAAGTATCATTGTTCAAGTTAGAAATAATAGAATAGTTACTGCATCTTAATGGAATCCTCAGGGGCATATGAAGCTATAGTATTGCCGTGAATCTCTGTCTTCATTCACTGATGGCAGGAGTGAGAGCCGTCACTGCTGCCTCGGAGATTCTAGCCAGCATTTGTCAGTAAAATGTGGAAAAAACAGCATCCAGGCTGGCAGGAGAAAACAATAAATAAATAAATAAATAAATAAATAAATAAATAAATAAATAAAAAACAAACAAGAAAAACCCCAAAAGTTAAATACTTACAGGAAACTGTTCTTGGGAGCAAAATGATACTGCATGCCTCACGGATTTGTGATCACACTGATGAAACCTACATTAACGTCCAGAGACTTCTGTTTGTCTTGCTGTTTTGTTTGTCAGTCTATCTGTCTGAGTGTTTCAGTTTGTCAGAGAAATTTTCCCATTCTTTTACGAGAACTTTATGAGTATAAAAAATTAATCAAGCCGGCGTTTCCCCACAGCAAGAATTTTTCTAGAGCAGCAGGGAACACTGCCTGTTAAGAAAGAAGAAGCTATTGCGGTGGTTTACATCCCTGTAGATTAGCGAGCTGTACTGTGTACTGTTCTTAAATTTAAATTCTTAAATTCTAATGAAACAAAGGATTTGATTCAGTAGGTCATCATCTTCTTGATTCAGGGCAGAGATGGTGTAAGTTAGAGAGTGCTGCTAGGGTCACGGGACGCTGATAATATGATACAGTATTTTTGCACTGATGCTTTGTCCCTTTTTTATTACACGCCAGCATTTCAGGCCAACCACTGCTTGTAACAATGAGCCTTAAGCTTGGAAAATACTTACATTCTTTAGCCACAAGTCTAATTAAAAAACCCCAAATTCCAGTGTTGTTGGAGTCTTGTTTGTTTGTTTGCTTGCTGCAAACCTAGCAGGGTAAATTAGACCTCGTAACATGGCTGCCTTCTGATTTGGTTATTGACCCGCAGTTTCAATTGGGAGCAGCGCATACCCAAAACAGAGCATCCACACGTACATGCTCACAAATGACATGAAGTGATAGAAGCAGTTATGGGAATAACAAATAAATGTCTCATGTAGATATAATGTGTACTATCAGCAAGATATTAAAGTGGGTTTTAATCTTGAGTTTTGCAACGGCACTCATTGCAGTTAAAATCAATATTCTAGAAAGCCTCTTAATGAACGATGACCATCATCTTGTAATGCTAGGCTTATCTTTATATTTGATTTCCTTCGGCTCCCTTTAGACTCACATTTGCTGCAAGTGCTTTGCTAACGTTATTTGCTTAAGCCTCACATTCTTTTCTTCCTTACTTCACTCCAACAGACATCTCAGCCAAGCCCTGGTGGTCAGTCTACATGCAGCAGCGAACAGTCCCCCATCAGCAACTATTCCAACAATGGGATCGAGCTTACTCTGACCGGTGGCGGTAGTGTAGGAGACCTCAGTGTCATCGATGAAACCCCAATCATGGACTCTACCATTTCCACAGCCACCACAGCACTTGGCTTACAGGCCAGGAGGAATATGACAGGGACCAAATGGATGGAGCAAGTGAAATTAGAAAGGTTGAAACAAGTTAATGGAATGCTTCCAAGACTGAACCCCGTTCCACCTTCCAAAGCCACAACCTTGCCGCCTCTCATAGGAAATGGTGAGATACACGTAACGGGAGTGGTAATGCTTTTTGTCCTTAAATTCGTTGCTTGCAATCAGAATCTTGCAACCCTTGCAAAACAGTAGTGCAGCTTATGAAACTCGGCAGCTATGAGAATGGTTCGTAAATTGATCACTTTTTGTTTATCCCCTCATTACAAGCCCTACTACCTGAGAGAAGTCAGATAGTCCCATGCTTTACAGAACGGGGGCCAGCAGGGGAACTGTGCATCACATTTGAAATATTCCCTACAGCTAAAGGTTTGGACCCAAGATTATCATAATCCTGTCTTGTTTTGAGGCAAGGCAGATGAAATAAATACCTGCCAGTTTATTGTGTGGAAGTCTTCCAGATGAGGCCTTAACAAGGCACCTTTTGCGTAGTTTTGTTGGGCTGCCCTTTAAATAAACTGTTTCCACACATACAAGTAATCATATCTACAAATACTGCTGCCACAAAGGGCAGATGCCCGTGAATGTGGGAGCAAGGCAAGACTGAACCCTGAAGACCTATAGTTGTTTTCATACAAGGAGCTGCTCATTGCCAAAATGTACATCCCTGCTGCCTCTGCATTGCCCACAACATGCCCGTAGGTTTCTGCACTCCACCCAGCAGCGACAGCCCAGGTTTTCTGAAACCCGTTCAGTCAAAAGGAACTATGTAAATTAAGAAATTTATTCTGTTTACTTAAAAACAAAACAAAACAAGGAAGCCAGAAAAGATGTTTTGCAGTTGTTAGGACTTATTTCAAGAATATTTCAAGAAGTCTTAGGAATGACCCTGAATAGCCTCCAGTTTGTATATTTTGCCATTCCACGCAAATGCCTGCTCAATTATATTTTGCCTATAAAAAGCTCACTTACGAATGTGTCCTTCTGGCACATCAGTCAGCATAGCTGCACTGCAGACCAGAGCTGATGACAGGCTGTGGCTATGGTCTGTAAATTTTGTGCTGGGATTCACACTGAAATGTTACCCTTGAGTCTCTGAATTAGCTTTTAACCTAAGGACACAGTTTTTATCCCTACTTCTTTCAATAAAGAGCACTGCTGCGGTTTGCTGTGATGATGCAGGCTTTTCCTCTATACTCCCCTTCCTTCTTTACTGGGTGTTTTCTGTACCAGTTTCTGGGTGATGCCTGTTTGTTTAACTGTGAATTTTACCTCCAGGTACCCAGTCGAACAGCAGCTGCAGTGTAGGAGGATCCATGACCATTCTGCCAAACAAGAATGAACTTTCAAGTACGGACATCACTGTGTTGAACATGCTGAACAGGAGGGACAGCAATACTAGCACAATCAGTTCAGCCTACTTGAGCAGCCGCAGGTCTTCTGGAATCTCACCTTGCTTCTCCAGCCGGAGGTCCAGCGATGCCTCCCAGGTGGAGGGACGACCACAGAACGTGAGTGTTGCAGACTCCTATGACCCCATCTCGACGGATGCCTCCCGGCGCTCCAGTGAAGCGAGCCAGTGTGACGACCTGCCAAGTCTTCTCAGCCTCACCCCGGCCCAGCAATACAGGCTGAAAGCGAAATACGCAGCAGCTACTGGTGGACCCCCACCAACTCCACTGCCTAACATGGAGAGGATGAGCCTCAAAACAAGGATGGCACTCTTGGGTGACTGCAGGGAGTCCGGAGTATCTCCACTGCCTCCAGTGAATGCCCCCCGAAGATGTAGTGACGGTGGGGCAAATGGTTACAGCAGGAGGCATTTTCTGCCTCATGATGCTCTAGGAAACGGGACGAGGAGAGCCAGCGATCCAGTAAGAATGGCCTCCGACAACCTTTCTGTCCCTAGAGTCCAGCGTTTCAACAGTCTTAATAGCTTTAACCCTCCTGCTTTGCCTCCATCCATGGAAAAGCGCAACCTTATTCTTCAGAACTATACCCGTTCTGAGGGTGGCGTCTTCCGTGGCTTCAGCTCCCCCTGTCCTCCGAGCATCAGCGAGAACGTCGCCCTAGAGGCTGCTACGATGGAAACGGGTGGCAGTCTGAATGATGAGGATCTCCTGCCAGATGACGTGGTTCAGTATCTGAATTCCCAGAACCAGGGCATGTACGATCACTTGTTGAACAATGTCCTAGACAGTAACAAAATGCATCACAGCTCAGTGTTAGGAAACAACAACCCCAGCAACTTTGACCAAGCCCCTCCACCGAGCAGTCAGCAGGCAGGCTCTGAAGCAAACAAGAGCGACTTGCCCATTCAGTGGAATGAAGTAAGCTCAGGAAGTTCTGACTTATCTCCTTCGAAACTGAAGTGCAGTCAGCGCTCGGCGGTGCAGCAGACTCGGGCCTTCGGGCTGTGGAAAACAACGGTTCCTACGGTTTACAGCAAAACACGGTTCTTGGCGGCGGAGCCAGTAATTCTTTCAGCGTGCAGCCCAATAAGCCTTACAGTGAAAGCATCAGCAGGCAAGCAATGATGTCTGGGGTGATGGGCAATGCCTGTGGCGTGGCAGTTCAAGGGCAGAAGCTGAGAAGCAGCAACATGCCAGTGAGTGGGAACCAGCAAAATTTTGGCCATCCCATGGCATCCAGCGACCAAGCCACTGGTATGGCAAATGGGATGCAGAACAGGAATATGATGGAACAGGAATATTTGCAAAACCAGACAGTCGGAGATGGTGTTCATTACCAGGCAGTCAATCAATCCAGTCAAATGATGCTAGGGCAGGTTAGTCCTACCTCACAAAGCAGCCTGTATCAAGGGCCACAGAGTTGTCCACCGGTGTCTCACACCATTGGTAGCCAGCCTTCAGGTTTGTCAGTGGCCAAAAGTTACCAGCCGTGCTCCAATTACAGCGGCAACAGGAGGCAAAACATGTTGAGAAACAACCTGGCACAACAGCAAGGACACATAAGTGATGGCAACCAGACGTACAGGGTAAACGCCATTAAGATGGAGATGCAAGGTCAATCACAGCAGTTCTGCTCTAACGTGCAGAATTACTCTGGTCAGTTGTATGACCAAACCACGGGCTTTAGCCATCAAGCTATGAAAACAGGTTCTTTCTTTGGCTCAGAAGCTAACTGCCTGCTGCAGGGGACTGCGACTGCAAACTCATCCGAGCTTCTTTCCCCGGGGGCTAACCAAGTGTCGAGCACAGTTGACAGCATTGACAGCAACAGCCTAGAGGGTGTGCAGATCGATTTCGATGCTATCATAGATGATGGGGACCATGTCAGCTTAATTTCAGGAGCCCTGAGCCCAAGTATCATTCAGAATCTCTCCCGCAATTCCTCACGCCTCACCACTCCCCGAGCGTCTCTTACATTCCCAGCTATGCCCGTAAGCACAACCAACATGGCGATTGGGGACATGAGCTCTTTGTTGACCTCACTTGCAGAAGAAAGCAAGTTTCTTGCTGTTATGCAATAGACATGAAAAAAAAAAACAAAAACAACAAAGCTTAGGAGATAACAGATGAAAAAAAAGACTCATATTTTTTAGTTGTGTATGTATTTTAGCAATCTCATCTCACCTAAATGGGATGTGTTTCAAGTATATTCCTTTTATGGAATAAGGACTCTGAAAACCCTAAAGTGTTCTAGGGAGAAACTGTCTTCCATTTCAGTTTTGAATCAGTATTGCTACACCCATCCCCCCCCCTCTCTCTTTTTTCTCTCTCTGCCCCCCTTTTTGAATGTCTGTATGCTTCCTTTTTCTTTTTTTTTAATTGTAAACCAATGTAAACGTGTGAAGTGCATGTTTTTGTTTTGTTTTGGGTTTTGGTTTTTTTTTTTTAAAGAAATGAAATGACTTTGCAATTTTCTGTTACTCAAAGGAAACTAGACCTTGTAAAACTGTTGCAATTTTTCCCCCTAAACATATAGGCACAAAATAAGCAGGCACAATATAAAGTGAGCATACAGTGATGAAACCCTCTCTGGATGCATTGGATACATCGCACTGAGGTGGACAACCAGTTTAGCAATGCACTGCCATGGTACCCCTAGGCTGTAGTTTCCAAGTCATGGAGCACAAGAGATTAGGAGGTTCAAGCAATCAAGAAATGTAAAACCATCAGCCCTTTGATCCCTAGCAAATGTTTAAGGTTTTTGTAAACACAAACAGAGATAGATGTCACTGCCTTGCAATAATAGTACTGAGATTGTGTCACGTTTAATCCATTTCAGAGGAAGGAGGGGACCAGAAAGCTATTCTTAGTCCAATTCTCTGTTGCAGTATTTGGTATTCTGTTTTTCAGCCTTTCTTAAATGACTGGATAGTTAAATTATGTGCATGTTTGGTGATTTGGGTAGTCTATAATCCCGTCATTGCATACCACAGTTGTGGAGAGACGATCAGGGTCTAATGGAGTATTTCATACAATGAAATAACAAAATTGCAGTATTCCATACTGGCAACTTTTTTTTTTTTTTTTTTAATGCGAATAGTTGAGATGTAATTTGCTGAGCCACTGGTTCTTACTCGCAGTAACAATTCCTTTGCCGGGAGAACTGTCTTGTACATCCCTTTTAGTGCATACACCGTTGTGGAGGGATCGTATGTTTTAAAATAAGTAAATGCCCATTGACATAACATGCAGTTACGGCTTCAAAAGCATCATGGTCATAGCATGTAAAACAAGTAGAAAATGAATGGCCCAGTTCTCAGACTAGCCAAATAAATCGAAGTGATTGCAAGGAATCTGATAAGCTGAAACGTTTTTCCCCTGTATCCAGGATTTAGAAAATTAAGAAATACAAACTGCCATTAAAAATAGCAAAGAAACAAGAGGAACAAGTATGTCTGGTAACTAATCAAAACTCAGAAAGACGAACCCAACCTCCCTCTCTCTTGGTGCCACCAACATTGCATTTCATTTCAAAGCAAACAAGCGGGTCAATGCCCAGGCTCAGTTACACCAGCAAAAATTGGAGCTAACACTCTGTGGTTGTGAAGCTACTCGCTGGTAGAGGAGAATGGCTCTTGCTCCGTAAGAGCTTTTTGCTGCGCTGGGCTCCGTGCCTGCGCCCCTGAGCACACAGTGCTCCTGGGTAAACGAGTTGGGGTGGAGAGCCGTTACAAGAGCAAGGCTTAAGCTCACCCACTCCTAGAAGCTGCATGCAAGTCCAGCCCTTGCAGACTTCTCCGTTAAATCCCAATAGTACAGTGCTGCTACGGGATGTAAATGGTGCTGGCACTTACAGTCATGGATTTGGTGTCTGTAAGGAGCTGGCGTTAGACGTACAGTGAGAAAGGGGAGCGTGGTCAGTTTTGGAAGAGTTTAGCCCAGTCAAAATTAGGAATAGCACCAGAAGGTTATTTTTATAGGCTAAAAGGCCAAAGCACTCGGGGGTTTTTTACTGTAAAAAAAGGTGAAATACCAGCTGATTCAGGGCATGGCATTTGAGGAATGTGTAGGAATACAACTCAGTGAAACCGTCAGATAACATTGATCTATTAACAGCTGTCAGAATCGGAGGAAGAAGCTGTAAATCAGTAGGAAAACATCATAGGAATCCAGTGCTGGGGCCATATTTGGGCTTATCGCAGCACGTACCAAGTGATTCGCACTGTGAGCTGGAATGTCAGAAATCAAGACAAATGTAAATATCCTACAGCTTTTATTGTCATCCAGCTCCTGTCTTTCTCTGTAGCTTTAGCAAGCATTGCTTCCTTCCTCTGTCTCATGCATGCATATTCCCCCGTCCTGCTCTTTGCCGTTTGCTGGTTCCCCTCCCGCCCTCCCTGCCCATGACCAACCCTCAGCCCTCCTGCGGTGGTCCCCGGGCTGCATGGGGAATCGGGCACGGCTCACCATGGTGAGTAGTTGGTTTGCTAGTGCAACGTGGCAGAGCTTCTCCCTGTTTCCCTCTCATCACCCAGAGGCAGCCTTGTAGAGACCCGCTGCCCATACACAGCCCTTGCCCCTGCCCTGCTGCCGGGGCGAGGAGGGATGCCGCTGGCCAGGCAGCTCACCCAGGGAGGAGGGATGCTTCGGTGTCCACGCTGTGCATTGCAGGGCTACGCTACAGCTGACGGCCCTGCTGAGAAACATCAGCGTATGCTGGAGGAAAGGCTGTACTGGACGTGTTTCAGATGGTTCTCAGTAACCAATAGCTGGCTATTTATTAAGCCATCAAATACATGTTTATAAACAATTTCAACAGGGAGACTTATGACCAACTTGGGAGTAGCTGGCTTGGGAGAGAAGCCTTTTATCGCTATAGAGCCAATACATTAAAAAATAAAAACAAAACTATTTTTTTAAACTCAATGTTTCAGTTTATAATTGTATTTGCTGGTCCAGTTGAAGCTGGGAAGCTACTAGCAGATGTGATCCATCAGACCTTAGAAGGAGCCATTCATATTGCTGAAGGCTAAAAGGGACTGTTTGAGTAGCTAATTTGCCTTTCTGGATTTGACAAACCTTTGTCACTCACTTATGCTGTCTTGGGCCAACAGTGGATCTCAGCCAAAGCTACATGCTCCAGAAAGGCATCCCATTTTGATTTGGCAAAGTCAGAGAACCAGAGACTCCACCATGTCCCCAGGGAGTTCATGCAAATCGTGTATTGTTTTCACCATTAAGCAGACGTACTGCTTATGTTCATGTGTAATTTTTCAGCTTTTAGTATCTTCTCTTGTTTTTCTGGCTTATGCTGAAGAGCCTGTTTTGGACCTTGTGAGGGTAGCAATACATCATAGCCCAGGTATCTTGGGGATTGGATTTGTTTTCATAAAGTAGACTGGGCTTTCTGAGCACAGCACCGTTAGGCTGGACACCAGCTTTCATGTGTTGACCTCCTCCTCAATGTGTGGTAGTCCAGGAAAAGTCCCACCATCATTGCTCACACGTTTACTGGCACCCCTCTACTCTGGCTCTTCCAGTTACAGAGCCAAAGCTTGCTTTTGTGCACATCAGTTAGCATGGCCATATCAATTGGAAACTCACCACTCACCCTAGAGTATTGGAAAATGCAAAACAATATTGTGGATTTCCTATTTTTAAAGCATTGCAGCCTGAGTCTAAATCACCTTTTCTTCTAATGGCTCTGTGGGGTCTTCCAGATATGTTACTGTTGGCCATGGGCACATCTGCCTCGCTCAGCCTGCATCTTTCTCCAGGCAGTTTTACTTTCCACGAAGTGGGAGTTACCAGGGTGCATTCATCAATCAGGTACACCGGGGTGGAGGAAAGGTGTTTCTGCAGAGTAGTCAGTGGGCTTCCAGAGGGGGTTTGCTGGTGAGTACAATGGCCCCGTACCTCCGCATGGCAGATGATCTTAGTCTCTCCTTGGAGAATGGCCCCCAGTGGTACGTGCATTAAGATGCTGGTTCACTCACTCGCTTCCAGCCATTGCTTCCCCCCTCAGCCCTCGATGAAATGGCCGGTCGGCTCGCCCACGCCTGTTGCGCAATGGCTCGTCCTTCTGAACAGCAGTGTTTATATTCTCGCAATGTATGTGCCTTATTTTGTGTTGACCCTGTAAAAGAGAGGGACCAAGATATGTTGCCAAATTTTCCTGATGAGGCTGTACTCGCCATTCAGCTCATAGCACATACCACTGTTAATAGTGTCTGAAACGTCTTGTAAACCTCTGGTATTCACGTGTTATTGTCCTTGGATTGGTGGAATGTCTCCTATGGAACAGTTACTGTTGTCAGTCCTGCAGATGTGTAAGATAAAAATGTGTTCTTTTTTTTGTTTTTCACTTTTTTTTTAGTTTTTTTTATAAAGCTTGTAATCCTTTTTTTAAAAAAAAAAAAAGAAAATGTGTAAATACATTTATGTACGGTAGGAATAGTGTTCGGCTGTAACGGGCCTTAGTGGTCTTCATTTGATAAACCCGCAGTTATGATCTGATGTTTCTCAAGCCTTAGGTTGATCTGAAGGGTCTGTAGCACTGTGTACATATAAACTGTACTTCTGCTTTCAGAACCACTTAGCTCTTTTGTAACAAAGAAAAAAAATTGTTTCTTACAATGTCAATAAAAACACAAAAGCCTTTGTACTTAAGTTCTTAGCTTTCAGCTTTTTAAAATATCTCCTTGGGGGAGGGAGGGATTTTTTCACTGGGCTGGAGAGCCTGGCTGCAATCAGCGCGTGTTTCGCTGCCGCTCAGAGTCGCTTGCTTTTCTGTTTCTGCTTCCCAGCCTATTGCTTCATTTCATTCACGTTTTAAAAACCGACGGGGTCACTACACCGGGCGTTTACCTTCCCTTTAAAGAAGAATGGCAGGGGGGGTGCCAGGTGGGGAAATAAATGGAACTGCAGTATCACAGAGGTAGAATGTTTGAAAGGAGGGGAGAAACTGAACTGGTTAACTGCTGCAAGAGCAGTCGGTGCAGAGGTTACCAGAGGTCTGGGCTGTTCTATGGGGGCTGCGTTTTCATCCCTCGCTCACCGAGGGTCTCTTGCAGAGGCTTGG